GCTGTTTTCTTGTGTGATTATTGTACAAGTCTGTCAAAGGGAATTTAACACTAATCTGCAGCTACAACCGAAAGAAATCAGATTTAAAGCACAGCAAAAGTGTAATAAAAAATAAATTTTGTTAATAAGTTTTACGTCACAAATGATCAGTGCAGTTCACTAGTGAATCGTTTCCATTTTGGTTCAGTTCACATTCTTCTCAGGTTCATACAATAAATTAAGGGATTATAAAGATAATAAAATGTATTTAACTTGTATATTTTTTAGTCATGTGACCTTGCACATGCATCTTTCAACATGTCATATTTTACAATTTATATTTATTTTTTTTTTTTTAAACTTTTTTATGAGAATGCACACAGACTTTACAGGCCATACATGATTATGAATGACTATAACTTTCTTGTAACAAACTCTCTGTTTGTGAATACTTTTGCATATACTGTATTTAATTTTGCTATTCTGTATTTGCATAAATTGCAAAAAGTGCAGAAGAATGAAATACCTGGTTTATGATGATGATGAAATAATAAAAAAAGTTTAAAAAAATTCCATTGCCTGCTTTGCTTCTTTTTGTTCAATTCAAGAGTTAGTTATTAAGTGCATCAGGCATTTGTAAAAATATAATAATTTTTATTCACAGACACATTGAAATAGAAAGTTAAAATATTAGCACAGCAAAATTTTAACATAATTTCAAAGTGAACATTTTTGGTTTTCAACTAAAACTTTAACTCGGTCATTATGAAACTCCTTTTTATCCTCACTTTGTTATTAACTTTAAAAAAAGAAAAAGAAAAAGTATTTCTCCCAACACTTTCATTGGCTGTGAGTAACGTAGGCGGGGTTTTATCCGGAAGCACATGTCCATTCTCTCCTGAAAGAAAGTGATGTTGTGGGACTGTTGCCAGGGGCTCCTGAGTGTCTCTGTGTCTGTGTTTGAGTGAGTGAGTTTATTAGTGAAGGAGTGGAGGAATATTTATCGCTATTTTGTTTTTGTACACTTTACTTTCCTCGTTTCGCCAGTTGAATTTTGCTGACCTGGGATCAGTCTGTCATGTTCAGCCGCAGCTCCAAGAAGAGAAACTTCAACACACCGGTGAGCAAAACAAACACACAAACAAACAAACAAACACACAAATAAACACACAACCAAACACAACACAACTACGTTGTGCTTGTTTTTTCATCCAAGCACAACGTAGTTGCTGACTGAACACTGCAGGGAAGGAAACACAATTTGTCATTAACAGACATAAAAACCCAGTCTGGACGTGTCTCGTCCTCAAATCAAAGACAGTTAATATGGCAGTTGTGTAAAGGTCAGAAAAGAGGGCTATTAGCTAGCTAGAAGTATTAGCTAAAAGGACCGACAGGTAGTTTAAAAAGTTAGATTTAAAGTCAGCCTCTAAAGTCTCTTAAAGACAAAAACTGATAAAGTAAACACAGAAGAGGGATACAATAAGTCATTACACACAAAACAACAGGACAGTCTAAAATAAAACCAAATAGTTA